TAGAGCAGCATCCAGTGCAATCTGCAGATAGGCTTATTACAAGGCGGACCAGTGCATATCTTTTTCCGCTACACTGCAGATCTTTCCCCGTTGCACACGGCTACTTGCATAAGGAAATTTCCAGGTGCAGTGTAATTATCCCTACTTTTGCCAATTAGTCCAATGCATTCCTAAGAGGATTGAGCCAAATCAAACCCACATGGTCAACAAAGCACCAGAGCTACACGTCCAGCACAATCATGAGGTGCTGCGGACTTCCACTTGAGAGCATTCATTGCGTAGTAGTACGGCAAGGAATAAGCGAGTCAAATTCACGATTCGTGTGGAGAAGTGGAACTGAGAACTCAACCAAACTGAGTCAAAATGCATTGCGCATCTTAATTGGCACCACACGTGCTATGCATAATTCCTCCACTTCACGCCAGTCGCATTACTTCCACAATTTAGAAATTGCACGGTGGCGGAATGACACTTCCCCTGGGCGAATGTCAAATTAGGCGTTAGCAGTGGTCTGCGTAAAGTGTGCATCCCTTCCGTGGAGCAAGCATGCAGCCATTCTTACAGTTGCTCTAGCATTTGCAGGTACGTATAATAGTATTGTCCTTTTTTATGCAACAACTGAGTGCTGCGGTTATCGAGGTCTCAAGAAAATGGCATGCGCAATTGAAATCTTGTGGGTGTTCACTCGAATATAATCAAATGAAACAGATGAATACAAATTACGATGTAGCAAAATTGGTATGCAGGTTTGACTTAAGTGAAAGGGTTACTGGGCTGCAAGTCGATGTTGAAGGAAGATTGATGAATAAAGTTGGTAATACGCCGGCATGTGTGCATGGCTGAAGTTATATCGACGCAGAACAATCTGTATTATAGAACATACAATTAAGACGGATAGTAGTTTTCCCGCTATTTCCATCCATCGGTTATTCGTCGTCTTTGCTGCAGCCTTTGTTCAATCTCTTTATTGTGGCGATTTCTTTGCCGTATAGACGGGCTAAGACTGTACTTCCATCAAATAGAATTACAATCTTGGAGCTTCCAGTGCCCTAAAAACAAAGAGTGAAGCAAATAATCAGTATTTAGCCTAGTTTATTTCTCATTTTAGGCGTTTTTTGTCACTCTCAACCATTATAATGTAATCGGTGGTGTAAGAACAGCACCCACGAGCCAACCACGCCAGACATCGAAATCGCCTACAATTGAGAGGATAACTGATTGCAACACCATTGACATCCTCTTGACAATTGCTCTCGCATCCAGGCTTTTGTCCTATTCGGGAACTGTATTGGGGGAAAGCGGAAATTGCCATCTCGTATGCCACTTTGTCTTCACCTCAGTGCTGCTTTACCACATCTATCTAAGTTCTCTCCAGCTAGTAGAGGCGTGTAGGAGGTGTCGCATGTTCATTTTATTGACATCTCCTTACAGGTACGGTAGACAGCCCTGTAACAAACGTTTACAGATGGTTCACGGTCACAGTTAGCGTCGCTTGCTTCATTTGTTGATAGCATTCCTGCAGGCGAGAAACCGGGGTGGCTACCAAAGGTAGACGTCATTTTCAAGCCTTCTGCTAGAGATTGTCACAGATTTCCTTTACAGCAACAGATATCCTTCTTCTGCTGTGTTAAGGATTGGGTTGGCTTTTTGCTCCTACCAAAGCCGCGCCCGATCTATTTCTGTAGACAAAAGAAGACACTATACTACGACAGAATATGCGTTGTCGATTCACAGAAGGGGTGAGAAGCTACCGGAATGGTGTCAAGACTGCGGCATTGAGCGGAAGTACAATGACTGTACCCTTTGATGCCAGTGGTTACAAAAACAATTGAAATATTACGTTTTCACCTGATGAATATTTTTCGATCTCGTCTGCTTTCAAACAAATATAGTCTAAAATTGAAGCCCTTTGTCTAGTCTACTGTTTGAAAATCGGAGAATGCGTTGCATGTAGGGATAAAAAAGCATACCGAGTAAAGGTATTTCAAGAAATTCCTTGTATTCTGGTAATAAACCACTCATGTTCAGGACGACCATCACTGGTTGATCATGATGAGT